AGGAAGTGTTGATCCAGTGGAAGAACCTTCCTGACTACGAGGCCACGTGGGAGCCATACGAGATGGCGAAACAGCAGTTTCCAGATTTTCACCTTGAGGATAAGGTGATTCTTTGGGATGGCGGTAATGTTAGACCGGCCCAGGATGGGCCGGTTGGACCGGTCCAGCAGGGACCGGTCCGCGTCTACGCGAGACGGACGCGAGGGAGCCCGCCTGGGCGGAAACGGCTCTGCCGTGAGCCGTGAATCCACGTAGGCTTGAGAGGGGGAGTTTAGGAGGGAAATTTTGAACGTGAAAGGCTGTTTTAGGAAGTTTATGATTGTCCTTTATGATTAATTTTGTATAATTAGGAGTTTGGGGGGAATTAGCTGGTCATCTTGAATTTGAATTATCTTGAGATCTAGGGTTTGGTGTGTTTGGCTCTTGGCTTTGCCGGAGATTGTCGGAGAGTTTTTCCTTCCTCTCGAATTGAAGGAAAGTTGTATCTTGCAAGTGCTTTTCATCCGTTAACGAAATAAAAGTGTTTGCATCATTTCCTACGTGCTCTCCTACGTTTTACTCTAAGATTTTCTTGTATTTTGGCTGTTTTTCTGCTGTGGACAGCAGTTTTCCCTTGGATCCATTTGGTTTTGGTGTGAAACACTTGGAAATCCAAGTGTTTCCTATCAGAAGGTTGTATATTATCTATATAGTGAAGTTTAGGTATTAAAACTATATATATGATAAAATTTTGAATTCTATGTATGTAAATCTCCCTTTATATAATAGATGGAAAATATTCAAGCGTATGATCTTAGTAAAATATGGGACAAGCATTAAATAGATTTTGACATGTGTGTATTTTATTAGTTTTGTTATACATTTTAGAATGAAGAATATGTATAATTTAATTAAAATATATAGTATTAAATTTATTTTTATTTAAAATCCATTCTCAGCATTTCAAAATGAGACTTAAAGGAGTTTTTCCCATAAATATGCAATATACTTCATCAAATACATTTACTATATTTTAGAAGCTATGATGCATCAATACTTCTCTTCAATGAGGTATGTCGTGTCCGACACATATCGGACATGACACGTCTGACATGCCTCAGATATATATCAAACACGACGATGACATGTCGAATTAAAAAAATATTGAAAATAAATTGGACACACGTGTGTTAAATATTTTATGATTTTTTTAATATAATTTTTTATATTTAAAATTTATTTATTAAAAAAATAAAAACTTAATTTTTTTTTATTTCCTCTCAACAACCTCAAATCAATTGCCCTCACTCAATACCCCATTCCTCGAACATATTATTTCATTTCTATCTGTAGAGCGTAGCTAGGGATTCACAACAACGTCCGTTGTAATCGCAACATTATTGTCTGACGTCATCACGACATCATTGTTTCAAAATCATTTGAAAATCAAAGTTTGACGCTAGCAATTTCTACCCCCATGATAATTCCCCTGCGTCGTCTCGACATCTCATATTTGACCAACATCGTCTCAACATAGATGATTGATGTTGTCTCAATATTGACACTCGATGCCTAACTCTTGATAGCATTGTCATCTCCTCTCTCTTCGCTTAAAACACGACATTGATGCTCAACTCTTGAAATCTTAATATTAATCATTTAAGCATAAATATTAGTTAAATGATTTATTATTTCTCAACTATTCTTAATATTATGTTTACTCAATTTCTATACACTATTTTTAAGATATAAAAATTATAATATTGTGTCTAACCCATATCTGTGTCCTATATTTTTAATAATTGATGTGTCTCGTGTCTGTGGCGTGTCATCTCCAAGTTGTCGTGTCCGGGTTTGTCCATCATAGTTTAGAAGTATAAATGCACTCTTTTTGCGCTTTTGCATGATAGGAAACAAAAGTACTTAAAGTAATTTGTGCTTACATGTATCATATGAGTCTAGTACTTGAATTTGCTAACTTTTCTTGTGATGCCAATTTTTACTTGATTTTCTTCTTTTCTTGGTACTTTCATCTTTAACTAATCACAGTGCTCGTTTTATCATTATTTATTATATGTCTAGCTTAGCATTTAGATGGCTTATTTTTAATTATTTAATATAATCTTTTTTTCTCCTTTCCTAATACCATTTTATATAAATTATTGGAAGGTATTACCTATCTTATGTTAGTTTTTGCTTTGAAAATCTCTAAGCTTCTTATAATCTTTGCAAGCTATATAAGTGCTATTTTTTACAACTCATTCGAGCGCATTTGTCTTCTTTGATAATGTTTTGACTCGAACCGACTTGAATTGACTAAAGCAAACCAATTGATTTGATATAATTGAATTTGTTTATTTGATTCAGTCTCAAATCAACTAAATTAAGTCAAATCCAGCCAAAAATGTTCCAATTGGTTCACCAGTCTAGCTTGGGCTTGAATTAGAATTTCTTATCTCCATTTAGTCCTATATGCTTTTATAAGTTCAATAATTTTGGCTTAATTGGATGGCTGTAGATGCAAGGAGTGGTAGGCATATAGTCCTTTCTTGCTTCTTTACCCTCAACTCTATGCCAAGACAAAAATTTTAAGCTATTAGGTGCTTTCTCTCGGCTTCTTAGCCATCGATCCATAACAACATGAGGGTAAGATCATGATGTAACTCTACGCCCTCGTTTTAACAGATTGTGAGCAAGAGGAATAGGGCAAGAAAATCTGAAAGATAAAGAGGGGAGATGCATGGAGATATCCATACACAGGGAGCTATTCACCAGCATAATAGGTGTCTTCTGTCCTTTATTCCACTTTCATGTCCACCAACTTTGGCAGGTTGGTTGGATTGCGGACACCCAACACAATTCTACATATCGTAGGAGGGAGTTCTTGCATTACTTGCCTTTGTATATACTGGACAAAGGTATTACATTGTTTCACTATTTGACAATACCTTCAGTGAGGTACAACTTTTTAAATTTTAGAAACAAGCCCTAGGTTCTCCTTTTTGGATTGTTGGTAGTTGTGAAAGCTTGTAGACACTAGTTTCTGATGGGGACATCAGCAGCGATTTCGACACATGTACCTTCAGGAGATGCCGGAGATCGACGACCACGATCATGATATGTATTTTCATCATTTTATGTAGTAGTTTATTTTTATTTTATGTTTTTCCATTTTTGCCCTCATGGGTAATTGGTAGCTATTGTAGCCCAAGGGGCATTTTAGTTTTTTGCTTTCTTTGTCATTTTGAGGCCTATTTATATGACCCTTTTCTTATGTAATAGTTTAGTTTTTGGATGAATGAAAATTTGACATTTCTTGTTCTCTTTGTGAGTGCAAACCTCCACGATCTCTTAGTGAGTTCTTAGGAGAAGCTAGATTTCTTTGTGAGTTTTAGGTCTTCTTGTTCTGCTAATTTTCGTTCGTTAGTTCTTGTGCTTGATTCGTCGTCGTGGAGATTGGATTGAAGCAATTTTGGAGAGTGGAATTCCCGTTGGAATCCCAAGTTTTCTCTTGTCGCCGGCTCCCTTCCCTCCCTTCCAGCCGCCGCCTTCCTCTTCCCCAAGCCCCTTGCCACCGGCCACCTTGGGCCGCCGGCCACCACCACCTGAAAGTTCGTCCAAGCCGCCGCCCCCTCTTCCCCAATTTTCCTTCCCCACCTCTCCACCCGTCGGCCCCTCTTGGAGTTTGGAATTTGAAATTCAAAGCTCTCATGAGACTTTGATTGCTTTCCTAAATTGAACCCTAGAATTGAGGCAAGTGTCATAATTGAATTTTAAAGCCATTTTGAAATTCAAAACGTTGCCTCTTATTCCCATTCAAGTAAGGAAACTTTCCTTATGTGAAATTGAAATTAAAGCTGCAGCCCTTACTTGGAATCTGAATTAAAATTCAGATTTTTGTTTATTTCTCCCATAGCTTCACCCGCCCCTCTCCCCTCTCAAACCCGTGAACCCCTCTTTCCCCTAGCTCACGGCTAGCTCTCCCTCTTTTCCCTTTGGGGTGTTTCGTTCCCGTCCGGCAAGGATGCATGGCGGAACCGGAATGGAACTTTGGATTTGTGCATGACGATCGAGATCAAGTTGACATCCTCCAATCACCGTTCTTTGACGTGGGCTTCGATTTCAACGGCACTATTGAAGATTACATCGACCGTATCCAGTACACATTAGTTGATGTGATCGACGAGAAAAGATCAAAGGGACGTTGGATCATCATCGGATGACCATCATCCTCCACCGCTCCGGCCACCTATCCAAGAACGACGATCTTTGGCTCCTTCTTCCTTGGAGTGACCTCGGTTCTAATGTGGAGGCTCTTCTTCCACTAAAGCCTAGACTAGTTGAGCGTATGGGCTCCAAAGGTGAAAGTTCTCATTATTAAATCATGGATTCTTGTGTATCGTCGTAGTTTTACAATTTCTCTTTGCGTTTTCTTGAATTGTTTGGGAATCGGCTTTG